CCCCTTGTTCAAAAGACAATACCTTTTTCTTTTGAAATTTCACCTTCAAATCAAGCAAAATAGGGTCTTGGTCTTGTTTCTCTTTTACCTCTGACACTAGTGATGATTCAGCCCCATTAGTCACCACTATTTCTCCTTCTGTGGAATCCATAACTCTGACTCCCTGACGTATAAGTTTGTGCACATCTTTAGCTAACACCCTCATTTCTTCTTCAACATGGGTGGTACTCCCCATGAATAACTTGATTAAGGAATCAGAAACCATATTCGCCTTACCTGGGTGGTAAACAATACTCATATCATAATCCTTGAGTAATTCTAACCACCTCCTTTGAGTGCACACATATTGGAGGCTTTTGTGATCCATAATTGTGTCACACATGAATACAAGAAGTGACATTATATATTCAAAGAAAACACTACTGCAGCCAATTGTAAGTCATGAGTTGGATAATTCTTCTCGTGAACCTTCAACTGTCTGGAGGCATAAGCTATAACCTTATCATTCCGCATTAATACACAACCCAAGAAACCTCTCAATGCATTACAGTACACCACAAAACCTTGAGTAACCTTTAGTAAGGTCAAAACCAGAGCGGTAGTCAATATTTTTTTCAATTTGTGAAAACTTTTCTCATAAGCTTCAGACCATTGAAACTTGGTTGTCTTCTGAGTTAGCTTGGTCAAAAGAGACGATATAGAGGAGAAACCTTCTACAAACCTCCTATAATAGCCATCCAAACCCAAGAAACTCCTTATATCTATTAGAGATGTGGGTGTAGGTCAACTCTGAACTGTTTCCATCTTTTGGGTATCAACTCTAATCCCATAACCGGAAACAATGTGGCCCAAGAATTCCAAGTACTTAAGCTAAAACTCACACTTGGAAAACTTTACATATAGCTCCTTATCTTTCAAAATCTGCAGAACAATCCTGAGGTGACTAGCGTGATATTTTGCATTCCTTGAATAAATTAGTATATCATTAATGAAGATATTACAAACAAATCTGAATAGGGTTTCAAGACTCTGTTCATAAAATCCATGAACATTGCTGGTGCATTTGTCAAACCAAAGGACATAACTAAAAAATCATAATGCCCATATCTGGTTCAAAAGTTGTCTTTGGAATGTCACATTCCCTAACTTTCAGTTGATTGTAGCCTGATCTTAGGTCAATTTTTGAGAAGCAAGAAGCACCCTAAAGCTGGTCGAAAAGATCATCCATCCTTGGAAGAGGATATTTATTCTTGATGGTCACCTGATTCAATTGGAGGTAGTCTATACACATCTTAAGGGAACCTTTATCTAAAAGATCTTTCAATTGTTCTTTTAGCTCCTTTACTTTGCTGGGGACATTCTATATGGCGGAATAGAGATAGGATGAGTATATGGGATGATGTCTATGCCAAAGTCTATTTCTGTTTCAGGAGGGACTCTGGGTAGATTATCAAGAAAGACTTATGGAAACTCTTTCCCTATAGAAACTGACTGAAGGGAAGGTACCTCATCACTTGAGTCATTAACTCGGACTAAGTGATAAATACACCCCTTTGAAACTAATTTTCTCGCCTTAAGGTACGAAATGAAACGACCCTTAGGCACTACTGAGCTACTAGTCCACTCTATGACTGATTCATTAGGAATCTGAAACTTGAAAACTCAAATTCTACAATCTATTGATGCATAACTGGCATGAAGTTAGTCCATACCTAGAATGACAGTAAAATCTACCGTATCTAACTCTACTAGATCAGCTATGGTGTTCTTGTGATTGATGGAAATTGAACAATCATGATAGAATCTTTCAGCTAAAATAGACTCTCAAACAAGTGTAGAAACACAAAAAGTTTCACAATGTTTTTCAGGAAGAATCTCAAATTGATTTGCAACATAAGGAGTTACAAAAGATAAACTTGCTCCTGGGTCTAATAAAATATAAACATCAAAAGTAAAGACTTTTATCATACCCGTGACAACTTATGGAGAGTTTCTTTCTTTTGGCGGCTAGTGATTGTATAGATACTGTTTGCCCCTTCGCTAGTACTAGAAGTGACTCCTCTAGGTGTAGCCCTTTATGGTGGAGCAACTGATGAAGATTGGGCTCTATTGCCTGGATTTCCACCTCCTTGCTTATTCTTGGGACACTCTTTCATGTAGTGTCCCTCTTGACCATATTTGAAACAACTCGACTGGCCATCACGACATTTAACAGCGTGGTTTTTACCACACCTACCCAATGAATGAGCCCAACTACCTCTTTGTACCACACTACCTTGGGACTGGGCTAGTCCAACCTTAAAGTTCTGCAAATTCTGGCCATCATACTCACCTCTGTTTCTGGGAGGCAGGTGCACTAGTTGATGATGGTGCATGCCTCTTTTGTTTATGAAATTGTGGTCGGCTTGAACCACTCACCTCTTGTTCCTACACTCCTTTCTATCCCTTAGCTTCTTTTCTTCAACCTGTTGCACATAGACCATTAACCTTGAAATTTTCATGTTCCTAAGTAACATTGCATCCCTACATTTTTTGTTTGAAGCACAACCCAAGACAGCAACAAACAAGCTCATTTTGTTCCTCATATTCTTAACCATCTCAGGAGCATAGCGAAACAGTTGGGTGAATTTTAACCATATTCATGAACACTCAAGGAGTCGTGTTTCAGAGTAAGGAACTCCAGTACCTTTTCTTCCTTCAGTTCCCGGGGAAAGAAATGCCCTAAGAAGGCTTCTTCAAAGCAAGCCTAACTTGGACGTGGTGCATCTCTGTTTTTGTGCTCCTTCCACTAATCAAACCAAGTCCTCGCCACATTCTTTAGTTGATATGCGGCCAGTTCAACTCTCTCAGCATCTACCAGATGCACTACATCGAAGAACTTCTTGAATTCTCCCACAAAATTTTCTGGATCCTCGGTAGTGATTGAACCAGAAAAACTTGGGGGATTCATTCTCAAGAATTCCCAAATTCTCAAACTTTAAGCCTCTTATTGTCGAGCTCCTCTTTGTTTCCCAACTTAGCTGGTCACAACTTTACTCAAAATATGGATAGCCTCACAAAATTCAATATCATGACTTCTCCTTGAGGTTACACATTTGGTGCATTAGGTACCTCTGGTTCTTCAACATTACTTCTAGCTGGTCTGCCTTTGAAAGCTTTTTGTGGAGGCATGATGATCTGAAACAGGCGCAAGCATGAATTGGAGGGAAACTTTTAGAGATAAACTCTAACGCACGAAATGAGTATGAAAGAAGTGAGAATTTCCTAAATGTTGTAGCTTCCTAATCATAGATATGACGTGCTTCACATCGATGACTAAGACTCTATAGACACGGCTTCATAGACTTTCTAGGATTCATAAAATTTGTGCTCTAATACTAAGTTTGTCATGCTCGGAGCCTGCACCTGAACGTGGGCGGCACCCAATGACCATTGCTGGCCTTGAGTGAACCCTTGTCCTGCTTACTTAACTCAGCGAAAGACTCAAATATAAAGCTGGAAACATTGTCATAATAAACACTTTAAATAATAGTCTCAGCCATATGACACTTAAGTCTCAAAAACAATATATGTATATATGAAATGAAAGAGAGACCCAAACTGAGTGTCTGACTATCTATTTGTCTATGAAATCTCTACTACTACTAAGATGAATATTGGGACAAACCCCTCAACATTCTGTAAGGAAATACTAAAAGCAATAAAGGGCCCTCCAGAAGAAATAAGGCTCATCACTAACTCTTGATTCTCAAACTTGATTAACGAGTCGCTGAATGTTGATCCTCGTTACCTGCATTTGCATCATGATATGATTCTGGCCAATTGACATCAGAACATTGAATATAGAAGTATACGAGGTGGAATGCTAACAACAACTAGTAAAGTGTTTTGACACCTCCTAATGATTCTAACTACTCTAAATGACTTCTAAACATATATAAATGATCCAAAAATATGAATTTCAACCTTAAATTCATAACTTTAAATTCAAGGATAGTTAAGACCTAAGTCTAGAAAGTTCTTAGAGTCTTTTCAAGAAGTATTTTGCAAATGCTTTTGACTTTGTTTTAAGACTTAAAGATCAAGTTGAGTAAAGAGTAAATATAAGGAGAAGAAGTTCATTTCAAGTTTCGTAAGTCTTTTACAAATGTTTTAATTTTGTTTTAAGACTTAAGTTTGAGTTCAGTTTAGAGTAAAGTGAAGTCTTTCCTTCAAAGAAGTATATGGAGACTAAGTATTCCCAAAGAAGTATAAACATTCTTTTCACATTTAAACAAGAAAGAAATTTGAGATTTTCAAAAGAGTCATTTAGCTAGTTTTTTAGTAAAGAGGAAACTATGATTTCCGAGAGAGCTTTTTAAGCTAAGTTTGAGCAATTATCTCAAACCAGAGAAAAAATTATTTTAAAAACCTATGAGTTAAGTATATTTTGGGAGTAGTATTGAGCACTGATATGGGGATGCAAATTCATATTAACTCAAACCCTCAAAAACCATGTAGTCATCATGGGAAGAGAAAAAATCATACTTTTTAGATGATTCCTTAGTGTTTTTAGCGTAGACTAGTGGATCCACTTTGTGAGTTCCGGTTCTATACCGATGACAAGGTATAGAATGGTCCTTGGCAATGTGAGGTAAAGCGTTGTACCATCACCTATGCTCATAGTAATGGTTGTCAACTAGAGAATCTCTCACAAAAGTTATTGTATTTTAATATACATCAGTTATTGTATTTTACATACATTCAGAGTTATGTTGTATTCTTTTTATATACACAGAGTTGACGTCATATATTTAAAAAAGTCTTTTCTTTATATTGCATCTACTTTAAACTACTTTATAATGAAATAAGTTTAGTTCAGTGTTAATGAGATGAGAAGAGTCAAGTAACTGTTATTTCAGAACCTCTATTAAGCCTATGTTTGTTAACATTCAAACTCGCATACTCATACATTCAATGTACTGATGATGCCAGTTGGCCTACATTGTCTTATGATGTAGATGCGGGTAACCAGGATCAATATCGAGCGCCTCGTTAATCCAGGTTGAGCACTCAGAGTTTGTTGGTGAGCCTCCTTGCTTTCTAAAGACCCATTTTATTTTGTTTTCAGTATTTAAGTTTTAGGATGATTGGGGGTATTCTCCCAACATCCCTCTTTGTAATAGAGGCTTCATAGATAGACAATTTAATAATTTATCAGTCTTTACATTATCATTCTATGTCAAAGACTTGAGTTGTCATTTTGTCCAAGTGAATGTTTGGTTCTTTTAATATTCCATATTTTGTTATTAAGTTATTTGAGTAAGTGCATTTGATCATTGTAAGAATACTTAGAGTCTTCCGCTGAGTTAAGTAACCCAGACTAAGGGTCCGCTCGAGACTAGTAATGGTCTTCGAGTGTCAGTCCCGCCAGAATATAGGCTTGGAGTGTGACAGTCAGGGTGCGAAAAATATCATTGAACTAAGCTCCTATATCCCAAAATGCAAAATGAGAATTCAAATTTTGACTTGAAAAATTTTGAAGTCTACCAAGGGTCCACCCGCAATTGCGATCCTTGGTTACTATTGTGGTCAACACAACACATCTTGATGTCCCCCACCCTAGTTTTCCTTCGTAATTGTGACCCAACCTTTGCAATTTCGAACAATGCTAGTCCCAACGCCCCCTTCAAAAATACGGACCACACATCTACAAATGTATGCCCTAGCAAAAAATGTGAGAAATTACGGTTAGCATATCGCGGATGCAGCCCTGGACCTGTAAAGTAACCACACCAAACATCATAAATTGAAACACCAACTACTTAACAACCTATTTTGTAAAAGAATACTAAAGTGTGACCGCACTCCACTAATATGACAATGTTGGCCTACGAATCCCCTTGTGGAGAGTGATAACGCTTGCCATGATATTACTCAATGCGCAATTGTGCTACACTTTTAACAACATATGTTTTCTAAGGTTCACATATGTTTGAAACCACCAAACCCTTCATATCACCTCTTGAACCATCCCTTTAGTCAAAGTATTGTATTATGAACTTAAGTTTAATTAATATCCAGATATTAAAAAATAAAGAATAAATAGTGTTATTACATATCTGATACACGATGGACCAACTAATACAAATTACCATCGATAAGGTTCATAATTACGTCCTACTAAATATTTTTATTATTGAATTCACATTGCAAACTTTAATTACAACAAAACAAATCTTATTTATTCAACCACATTCATCACTTAATAATAAAAGTGAGCACACTCATTATTGCATAAACCTTGATCCCTTTTATCTATCTATCAAAATAAAGACACAGAAAAACACAACCTCCACCTGCTTCCCAAATATCCACCCTATATATATATGTATAGTCCAACTAGACGAGAATTATTCTGCCAAGATTATAGTAAGCATTTTATAGTGGCCACTTGAACTTGGAATGATTATTGATTCCAACAAGTTGACTCTTGCTGTCCTCATTAAATGTATGGAGGCTTTGACCTTGTGCTTATAATGATAGTATTGCTTAGTTGGCTAGAAGATTATAAAAAAGGAAAGCGTCCTTTCCCTACAAAGAGAAGTCTTAGCTTTAATCTATAGAAAATTTTTAGGACGTTTTATATTTTTTTTATCTTTGTTGATTTACTATTTTCTTACTTGATATTTGTTGATTTACCATTTCTTTAATAATTAATTAGAAGTGTATTTTACTAAATTAGCTTTATTTATGCTGTTTTAAAATTATAAATTTGACTAATATTATTTTAAATAATAATTTAATATGAAGAGTAGTATGAAAAAATAATAATAAACTCTCTTGCTTTGTTAAATGAACTAGTAAAATGAATTTTTAACGTACGGGTCAGTAATGTATACGGACCATGTAAAATGAAATGAGAGAATAACTTAAATTTATATATAATAGTAGACACAATTGTTACTCACTCTGTCCAATCATAATCGTTCATTATTAAATTGGTATACTCTTAGAAACAACAAATAATGAGGATAATATTATTAATATTTTGAAAAATGTATTAAATATTGAGCGGCGTATGTAATATCAATGTTAAAATAGACACACAAAAAAAGATAAATTATTTCTTGACAAGTAGGATGGAGATATTACTAACATGAAGTTACACATTAATCCTATGTTTACTTTAAGATTTGAATTTTGAGTAATTTGAATCGTCACCTATTTTAATCACTTCTTAGAAGAAGAAAAACGATTACTATTGTTAGAAAAAAAACAGTAAGCCATCATCCTGGAAAAATTGAAAGTTTAGCTTTGACCATTTGAATTGAAGTGAAGAATAAACGTAAGAAAGTTGAAACTCACTTTTCTTTTCAATTATTAAATCCTTTTTCATTGTATGTATATTGTTAATCTTATTGATATGCATAATATTGAAGGAATGGTTCATGTTTAAACTTTAATAGTACAATAGTTAAGCTTAAGGCTGGAATATACACAATATTTCTGACAAAAAAAAGTAATTTTAAGGAGTAGAAATTAGTGTTTGGCTAATTAAGTTGAAAAACACTTTAGTCAATATTTGAACATTGATTTACTTTTTAGATTTTGAAGAAAATAGTTTTTGTTATTACTCATTAATATTATTTTTTGCCAAAAAAATAATTGATCAAATACCTTCTTCGCTACATAAAAAATAATCATTATTAATTGCCGCTAAATATGAATTTTAGCGACAATTAATACTTCACAAAAACCTTTAGCAATATTAGTTCTAATGACATTTAACTAATACCGATAAATACTTTAACACTCTTTTTGTTAATGTCAATATTTAATACTGCTAAAAGTTATTTTGTTATAGTGCTTTAAGATGAGCAATTTTTTCTTAAAAGTCAACACGTTGATTTCTAGAAATTAAGTCAAAAGGTTATTAGTTGCAAGACCACAATCCACATAATGAACATATATTATATGTGAGATTATGTATATACACATATCATTAATAATTTTGTACAACTAATTGTCTCATAATCTAGATATGAGTGGACAAGATACTTGAGACGGCTACTCATAATGATATTATATCAAACGTGAACGTCAAAGTTGAGATAATTATATAAGATCATCAAAAGTGAAGAAATAAGTGGTTAAAAACAACTTAATATCACAAGTTCCTTAAGGTAAAGTCACAAGTCTCTCAAGGTATTCATATCCATATCTAACCTATCGTTGTCTTTGAAATTTTTAGATTTAGACAAAAGGATTTTCAAGAGTACACATGCAAAAGCAAAAGTTCATTTCTAACAACTCCCTTTTATGGTTTGCAATGAAGTCCTCTTTTGCTATAAATTCAACACTTCTCCTACTTAAAAAAATATAAAATTAGCTATGGAATTCGTAACTAAAACTACCTATAGCTGATTCAATTTTCTTATAATCCATCGTCAACCCATGGCAAATGAAATTAGAATTATATTATTTAGCTATAAAATTTTATCTGTCGTTAATTTCGTGTTCTCCTCTGTATATTTTTATAAAATGGAGAACTCAAAATATTGATAAGGCCTTTGCCTTTTCAATCATATATAAAGTGGGGGACAACATGTAACACTCACACATATATCTATAACTTGATACTTATCATAAGCTTCGTTAGCTAGGGCCTATGATGTCCTTTTTGTGCAATACATAAATTTAAAGTTTTTCCGCTCTTCACTTATAATAAGAAACAAATTTTCTTTTCAATTATTCACTAAAAGAAGAAAAGTGTTTCATTAGAAGTTGACGTTAAGAGAATTATCCACTAATTAATTGGCTGATTAGTAGTTACGACACATATCAAATTCAATCTAGTTTAATTTATTTTTCTAATTTACCTCTTACAAACTAATTGTGTGTATTTTATTTGCATCATCTCAAACAATAAGTACATTCTATTATTGTTTCAATGTTCTCATTTTGATCACTTTTGTCTATTAATTATTTGTTCACTAAAAAAAAGAATTTAATCAATATTTCACTGATTTAAAAATCATAACATGGTCTAATGAATAAAATATGAAATTTTACTCGGAATAAGTTGGATATTCCGTAGAATATTCCACCTTAGCTTATCTACAAAGAGAGACGTTTCGTTATTGTAACGTTTTACTTCTATTTATTTAGAAAACAAATTTCACTTTTTTCAAATTATATTTAACTATCTTTTCATGTACGTAATGTACTAGTTGTTGATTTTCATGTTTTCTTTTTCCACTGCTATTCAAACAACATTTATATATATTTTATATGCTAATATGGTGAAGATGCATTCGAGAAATAAGAACCGATCGATATGTACATATTAATTATCTAGGTAGTTCTGTATTTAAGAAATTATTCACATTTGTGATACAAAAATAAATTTAAAATAATTTATACATTGTGAAACTTTTACATTATCGAAGTTAAAGTTGACACAAGTACACAACAAGTAGTAACTCTAAATGAGTACCTTGTCCAAATATAAAAATAATTCAATTCAAAATGCGGCCAATTATATCATGGAACCATACAAGATCTAAAGCTAAACTAGAAGTAATTAATTATTAACTTGCAAGTTGGCAAATATTTAAGGACCATGAACCCAACGAACCAATAATAATTCACGAAAAAGAAATTGATATAGTTGGCAAACAAGAAAAAGATGAATAATGTAACAACCACCAAATTGAAACTATATAAAAAAAATATATATATACTACAAACTAACTTAATCTCCAAGTTGCAAAGAAAACGAACCTAACCACTAAGAAATACTCCACTAGTTATGAATTTAAAAGAGATTTTCCCTTTTATATATATATATATATATATATTATTATTTTTTTTAAAAAAATATAATAAAAAAACGGAACAATACATATCACCATGAACCACGAGCAGGGAGACATGTATGCTCATTCATGGCCATGCATAGCCGCCATTGCGACTACGCCAAGCTTCTGCAAGTTCAATTTGACGACTGTATCAGTAAACATTTTGGTGTCTTCTCCAGTATTCCCTTGCGGTATATCCACAATATATGACTCCAATACTATAGTATAAGCTTTTCCATTTTTCTCAAATTCATTCACAGATGTAACGGATTTATAATTATTGAGCCTATGCTCCCCTCCTACCACCTTAAAACTCAGAATATGCTTCTCATCGTCTAGTATCTCTAGTCGCTCTGTGCTTGTAGATGCAGGGATCCCAGACACAACGGATACTTCTCTTATGCTTCCCACTCCACCATCACCTACAAATTACATTTTAATAAGAGGCCTTATATTTATCGTTACCCATACACAAATTTTGAAAGAAGATTTAATTAGCGAGGCTTTAATTAATCAGTATATATACCTGTCATCTTGCAGCTCTTGATGAAATGCTTGTATTTCTGGGGATTATCGAAGCGCCGGACGAACGGCCATACGACGTTTGCTGGTGCTTCGATCCGCTGTGTTATGAGTGAAGTGCAAGTGTTTGATAAATCCTCAAAGGTATGGTAGTTTCGAATCTATGGCTCTAACTCAACGAATTCTTCTTGTTTAAGTCCATGAGGAACTTGACAATTAGTACGAGCCATGATTGTGATAAGAAAATATTGTATAGTTTCTAGTTTGGTTTCAATTTGAAGAATAATAAGTAAGACTAATATAACAAATTAGAGAAGTCAGCTTTCTTTCATTTGTCTTGGAAATAGACAGAGAAAAAAAAAAGTACTAGTAATGGAGGATATGGGGCTTGGTTTGTTTAATTTATTTACCTTTTCAACTTTTTTTTTTTATTATTATTATTATTTGGATAAATTTTTTTTGACAAATATGACCTTCCTTTGCCATATTATAACCAACATGTCAGAAATTTACAAGTGAGATATTGTCTTTTTCCAAAATAAAGGATTAAAAACAAATGAACAAGATATGTAGTATAGTATTAGTATGAATTGACCAAGATAAAGCTAGATTTAGGAAGCATATAACATGCAAACAATTACTATATTTGTTGTTACTGTCATAAAAATAATATTTAAAAAAATTGGTTAAAGTTACCTAACATATATATATTTTATAAAGATTCCTTACATCTTACTATTATAAGTAAAGTATTTATAGTGAGGGTGTGGGTTGGATGGAGGGCTTAGATTTTTATGCTTACTACTTAAGGTACACTTTCCTTATTTTAAGCTAGTATTAGCAAATAATTGGTAAAGATTATGCACTAATCACACATTTTAAGACTAGATGCTTTAAGAAACTTTTTTTATTTTTTTGTGCATACACATGAAAAGAATAGACCACATCATAGAGTTTAATGTCTTAAATTTTAAAAAAATGTATTTAGCTCAATAATAGAGTGTGTACAGCTATTAATTTACATCCTACGTGTTTAGACCTTCTATACATTTACGATTAAAGAATCTTAGTAGCTCACGTTGCATTAAAAATAGCTTTTTTCAATATAATAAATACACACATTAACAAGAATGTATAGCCTTTATCGATATTAATTTTGTCAATAAATTTAATGACATTACAGGTTTTTGCGATATTTATAAAAATGATAAAATATAATCATCACTAGTAATTGCATCTATAATAAGAACATATTTAGTACTTTCTTTGTCCTTAATTACTTGTTCATTTTTCTTTTTTTTAGTTGTCCTTGTCCGTCTTTATATATCAAGAAAGAACAATTTCTTTTACCCGTTTTATCTTTAATAAATCACTTTAAAAAAAGTAGAACTTTTTGAACTTATATTTTTATTTCATCATTTTCATAATTAATAGGGATAAAATGATAAACTCATTATGTTAATAATTATTTTTTTATAATAGGTGTATCAATTCAAAAATAAACAAGAAACTAAGGACGAGTAGCAATTAAGTTATTGTCATTAATTATTATCGCTAACAATCTTCTATGATAGTGTCACCTAAACATATTTAGCAGCAATTAACTCTCTCTCGAACTTTCTCTTTTTATAGGAGTTCAATTTTGGCAATTCTCTCCCCTATTTGTCATCTCCCTAGCCCCATGTACTCTCCAAAAAATAAGAGATGATTTACTGAATAATAATATTTATGAATGTCGAAATAAATTTTTCATAATCATTTACAAATTTATAAGAGAAAAAAAGATATTTATTTTTTGATATTTACATACAAATATCTTATAAAACAAAACATAAAACTAAATAAAATTTATAAAAGTAACTACTAAATCGCGAATATCGCAACCCCTACTAAATGATGGATAATGCTATTAGTCTCATTTGTGAATTAGGTGAAAGAAAAGGGGCAAAGAAGTCAACAAAAAATTAGAATTAGGGAATAGTCTCCATCTTTGAAAAGAGGCAAAGGTGTTGGTGTTGTAGATTCGTGGATCATGTGAGTGCAGGATTCCACTTCACCTTTTCATATTGCCTCTGCTATTTACTCATGGGGTCATCACCCACAATAATATATATTTAGCGATTCATCAAAAACAACTTATTTTATTATTATGATATAAATAATTTAAGAATTACTTAATATCTTTAGATTTCAATCAACATAATATAAAATATTGATCGTGCATATTCTGAAATTATATATCTCATACCAATTATTACTTATTATTCTAAAACATTTAATTATTAAATCCCTATTTATTTGTCTAATATTCTTATGGTGATCTAGATAGAACCCTCCTGTAGGTTTCATTATTATACTATTGTTCTTCTACAGCTTAATTTGTTTCATTAAGATAGTTTATACATTTTGATTTGTCATAATACTCATTTTATGCGTATGATTAACTAATTAAAGATACGCATTTCAAACTAATTTTGAATAGACCTTTTAGTTGAAAACTTGTAACAAATTAAATTTATCTATATTACTTCCCAATTTTTGTGAAAAACGTGAAATTAAAAATCATGATTGTTGGAGTATTTCAACCTAGGTGTAGAAAAATTTCTGCCTAATATCAAATAAACCATTAATCTAAATTTTAATTAGGGTTTGTCTTGATTTTCCTATGGTGTTTGGTTTTATTCAAAAAAAAATATTTTGTAGAAACTATGTTTCTCGTTAAAAAAGACTACATATATAAATTATTGGAAGAGAAGTCTTGAAATAAAATATAACAATTTAATCGTTAATAATTTTTACTTATGACGATATTATTTTCTCTACAATGATGAAATACAATAAATATATTAAAATTAACCACGATATTTGACTCTTACCAAAACTTTGCCATATATGGAAATTTTGACTAACTTCTATAAATAATGTTAATAAAAACTCAAATTGCTTTTTTGTCACACAAAAGGATATAAAAAAATCAACTGATAGTTGCTTTATATCAAAGAAACAATCCAGAATTCTAGATAAAGTTATGTCAATTAATATTATCTCAATTTTATTTTTTTTATCTAAGAAAACAGAAAGTTAATGGAATTGTTAGATATTGAAATTGAGAATAAGAATTTGGATGGATTCAGCAAGACAAAAGTCTGTCTTATTCTCGATCCAAGAGCTGTTGTCTGCTACCGTTGCAACAGAAACAAAAAACACACAAAAATATTTACCACACAGCCAAGTATAGGATTAATGATTAGAACTATGCAAAGTTTTGGTGTGCACAACGTAGCATAAAAGATTCCGGAAAAAAAATCTGAAATATATAAATTTTGATTGAAATTGTTGAAATAATTTTAGATTTTGGATAAGACCTATTATTTTTTACATTATTTAATAATGTATTTTAAAGATAACATAATTAGTCAGCAGGATAAATTACTATTTATAATGATACAATATTTATAATATTCAGGTGAACATCTACATATCTTTAAAATACACTATTAAAAAGTGCAGAAATAATAAATTATACCAAAATTTGAAATTATTACAACGATTTCGATCAAAGTTTAAATATATTTCGAATTATTTTTTTTATAAAGATTAAAGATATTTAATAAAATACTTTGCACACTAATAGAGCATTATGTGTGAAATCAAGGGTTAATCGAATTCTTTCTGTTAGAAAATGACACTAGAAGAATAATTTCTATTTATGTATGAATACAAGTTTTGAATCTCTACTTCAATTAGCAGCCAAAGGATGTATAATGTGTAGCCCATTGTTGTGGTTCCCATCTCACTAGAGACATTCTTTTGACCTCTTTAAATCCTCTTAATTGAACATTGTGTATCCATCATGATTATAAAAAATGATTTACTTTAACTAGAGTTACTTCTAAACAATTCATCAAAAAAATTATTAGACATACAATTACTTTAGAAGTTTATATTTATATCGTCTCTCTATCACTATCACAACTATGAGATACGTGTAACGATCTATATACCAAAACATAGAAAAACTGTATTTATTTGTTTTTATCAAAATTTACTAAGATAAATGATATTTTTATGATCTCATGCAAAGTTTAATTTTCTAACTTCTCATGCTTGACCGAACAATGTTAAGAATTTGAATGGCAACGCTCATTCTTTATCTTATACAAAGGTAGACCCACACTTTCAGGAGGGGTACACATATACCTGTTAACTTTGGGAAAAAATTTATATGCATATGTATATTTATTTTAAAAAACAGGTAAAAACTACGACATAGATAACAATGCATTCATAAAAAGCAAAAAAAAATGCTAGAAAGTCATTCTTAATATTTTAAAATTTAAGTTCTCGAATCTAGTTAAAACTCTATTTCATTATTTGTCTATTATGTATAGTTTAAATTAAAAATTATATTTAAGAAATCTTTAAATTTTGAATTCTCAAGAGGAGATGACGAAAAAAAGATAGTTTGCAGTTAGATAAAGAAACAAATAAATGAGAAAAGTCCAAAAATAGTGTAAAAAGAAAAGCATAGGTTCCAACAGAAAGATTTGACAAGTTATAATTAATTGTTGCATCGTTTGGAGTGTTACGTTGTTTCCTTTTTAACTAAGCAAAAGATAGTATATTTCTCTTATATATTACAATACAATGTGAAAGCGGCTTCAAACTATTGATTGGTTTAAACTCTTCATGAAAATCGGTGCATTTTTTAGCCACTTGCCAACTTGCACACTGACAACAAAAAGTTCTCAGAGAAGCAAATGTACAAAAATAAATAATATGGCAACTCATCTGTTATTGGTTTTCCAAGGGGTGAACGCAGATTTATTGTTTCTTTCTTTGTATTTTTCTATACGCATTATTTCAATTTCTATTTACTTTCTAGCTTTTCTCTTTTCATCGTTTTCCTTTTTCCGTTCCATATCGGTTGATTGGTTTCAATTTTAAAGTTTATCGATTCAATTTATTGTTAGTTATTTAATTTTTTGGTTATTAATAGTTATTAATTTAATTGTATAAATTTAAGATTTAATACAAAAGAAATTATTTAAAAACAAGGTGATAAACAAAATAAATCATGCACATGAGTTGACACGTTGTCTTGCTTAAAACCAAACACTGTCATGTTGTTGAATAGCCGAGAGGGTAAGACAACCTCAAATAAAAGTATGAAAATGAACTTTAAGTCAATAATTTTATATAATAAATAGTATAAATATATTATTTAACTTATGATCCGAATATCGGTTAATCCATTTAGAATGAATCTCAAACCGTTTAGAATCGATAACTCGATGAAAATATAGACAAAATCATTATCAAAATGCTATCAAAGTCGCAAAAATAATAATAATCCATTATCGATAAATCATATATATATATATATATATATATATATATATATATATATAGAACAAATTGTTATGTGTACGTCATATTATTAGTTACAATTTTATTTTTAACAAAT